TTGCTGCAGGTGATACCACCCTGTAGTAAGCAACAGAGGGTCCTGTGGCACCTTTGAGACTAACAGAAGTACTGGGAGCATAAGTTTTCGTGGGTAAGACCCTCACTTCTTCCCTTGCATCTGAAGAAGTGAGGTTCTTCCCCACGAAAGCTTATGCTCCCAGTACTTCTGTTAGTCTCAAAGGTGCCACAGGACCCTCTGTTGCTTACTACAGGGTGGTATCACCTGCAGCAACTGAACAGGGGACCTCCTGCAGCTGAAAGCAGAAGCTGTTCTTCATTGAGCTAAAGCCCAGAAGGGAGGAATAAATAGCAACCCACGATCTGGGCCCTATCCATTTGGGATGTGGGGGGGACGCAGGAAGAGACACATTGTGATACCATGCGTAACAGTGACTCAGGATTTCATGGGCTGGAACTTTCCTTGCTAATGCTGTGTACGTAGCTGGATAGACTCTGTCTCTGTTATTTAAGGTTAGGTCGGAGGAAAGTTGTTCTTTGGGCAAGGACTGACCAGTGATTCCTTTGGTTTGAATCTAGAGTGCCCCTTTCCCTTCCGGGGGGAAAACTTGTTCAATCCGCTGGCTCATAGAACCTTCTGGGTTCCTTTCCCCCAGATCAATGCTATCAAAACAAAACAATAACGTCCTACACACACAGTCACACCCCTCTTCCTTGGAGGGGTGGAGAAAGAAAACAGACTTTGTTATTCCGGCTTTACACATACCTTGACTGTGTGCAATGCTTAGATTCCGCAGTGAGAGCTGATACATAGAAACCTAAGAGAGGCAGTCAGGAAAGAGGCAGTGTGGTCTAGTGGCCAGAGTACTGGAGTGGGGTCAGGAGACCTTGGGTCTATTCTTAGGGACCTGCTTTGATCTGACTTTCATCTTGCCTCTGTTTCCCTCTCTCACCCTGTCTATTTAAAGAATACGTTTTTCTCAACAGGAACTGTTTGGACAATGCCAAACACAATGGAACCCCAATCTCAGTTAAGGCTTATAGGGGCTACATTCTAAATAATCACAAGCAATGGCTCGGAGGAATGCCGCTGTTCAGAGAGAACATTTCCTGACAAGTAGGGCTGATATTACCACAGCTTGTTGTTGTCTTTGACACGTTGGCTCCAGACACCCTCCTCTTCTCCAATTTTGCCCACCTACATACCATGTTAGGCAGCAAGGCATAGAATGGCGGAAGTCACGGGGAGAGAATCTCTCCTGAGCCCTGCGTGTGACGCGCCCTCCCGTCATTCAAAATCGTAGGTAATTTCTGCATCAAGCCCATAACTTTCGTTCGAGCCATAGCATATCATTGAGCAAGACATCCAGTCTTGACTTAAAGACCTCAAGTGACGGAGAGTCTACCACATCCCTCAGAACTTGGTCCAGTGGTTAATCACCCTCACTGTTAAAAATTTTGCACCCGATTTCTCATCGGCATTTGTGATGTCGCTTGTGCTGTGTGTAGATGCTGAAAGGGAACCATACGGTTCGCACCAGATCTTCCAAAACCGCTTCACACCCATTAGGCATCAAAACCAGGCAAAGACACGACCCCTGACAAGTTGTTCTCTTCTATTCTAGGATTAAGTGCAACAGAAGAACTTTCTGCTTCTCCTCCCCTTTCGAGCCGCTGACTTCTTCCTACCCTGCGCTCCCCTACCTGCAGACAAGGGCACACACATGGCCTTGTGGGCTCTGCTGAAATCAGCTTTCAAATTAGTCTAGCCCCCTCGAGCAAGAATCCTCTCCGTGTCCCACCCAGTGCGCCTTCCCCCTAGACCAAAGGGATGGGGGAGAGGACGTGTGACGGCTGCTGTCTTGGCTAACACAATTGTACCAGGGAGCTCCAGAGCTAAAAGTAAGAGTTGCTGCAGCTTGAGCTAAAGAGTCCAGGCTTCGGAGCACATGGTCGTAGCAGACTTGCATCCTCTGCAGATCAGGCGCAGAGGACCCATAATTAGGGTGACCAGACATCCCGTTTTTAAAGGGACAGTCCCATATTTAAGCTCTCCTGCGGGTGTCCCGGTTTTTTCTTAAAAATGGGCAAATTGTCCCATATTTTCTGTCTCCCCCCATCAGTACTGGCGGGTCCTGCTGCTGGCCGGATCCCTGCTCACCAGCCACCTGCCCGCCAGAGGTGAGTGGGAGGGTCCAGTGGCCGACGATGAGGGTGGGCGTGCAAGGCTGGTGGTTGGGTGAAGATGCAGTGCGTCGAGCCTGCCGGTCCTCCTGCTGCCTCCATCACCGCAGCCCCCGCTGTGTGCCGGCTTTCGGCCAGCAGGGCCCTTCCCCTGTCCCTTTTCCGGCCGGCACTGGCTGCACACTGTGAGTGCGGGCACCCATCGGCCCTTTACATGCTCCCCCGTCGCTGTCTTTTTAACAGAGGCTCAGTCAACTTGATGCTAATTTGAACGTTTGTACTGCAGAGTTGATTGATTGCCGTTGAACTCGCTTGAATATGCGTAATTTTATCAGGTGTCCCGTATTCAGCATAGGGAAATATGGTCACCCTAACTAGATGGGGAGGACTCTGAGTTACTACAGTGAATTCTTTCCCAGCTGTCTGGCTGGTGGGTCTTGCTCACCTGCTCAGAGCCTAACTGATTGCCATATTTGGGGTCGGGAAGGAATTTTCCACATGCGCAGCTCAGACTGGCAGAGACCGGGGGGGGAGGGGTTGACTTTCCTCTGCAGCATGGGTCCCGGGTCACTTGCTGGAGTGGGTGGGTGAGGTTCTGTGGCTTGCGATGTGCAGGAGGTCAGACTAGATGACCATGATATTCCCTTCCTGTATGGATGGCTCATAGACTTTAACTTATAAATGTCTAGTCCTTTTCTGATTCCTGCTAAGCACTTGGCCTCAGCAAGATCTCATGGCGGGGAGTTCCACAAGCCAACTGCGTGTGGTGTGAAAAAGTATTTCCTTTGATCAGTTACCAGTTTGCCACCTTTTGAATTCACTGGATGTCCCCTTCTTCTTACAGTGGGAAAAAGGGGGAAGAGAAGTTCCTGCTCTATTCTCTCCACACCATTCATTACAGTGCGTTCTTTTATCATGACGCCTGGAGCTGAGTAGGCTCCAGGTTCAAACCCCCTTATGATTGTTGGCTCACTTATTTTGCAGTGGTGCCCATCGCCCCAGGCGGGACTGGGGCCCCGTTGTGCTGGGTGCTGTACAAACACAGATGAAGAGACAGTCCTGGCCCCAATGGGCTACCTCTGCTCACCTACTTGCTTACTTGTGTAACCCACTGGTGAGTGCATAGTGTCCCATCTCTGGCCATTGGATCTATTTGCTACTAGCAGTCACAGATGGGCCGCATGGCATTGTAGGTAATCTCATCACACCATCCTCTCCAAGGTATCTGACTCTATTTAAGATCCATATTTTTATTCATTGGGAGGGCTCTGATGGAGGAGTTGCATGGGAAGTTGCACATGTGGTTGTGGCCAGGGATTAGATGGTTTGGGGAGGAAATTATTATAAAGAGAGTTATCTTATGACAAAATGCCACCTTCTGAAAGATCCCCGACCTCTTTACTCAAGGCTCCAGTAAAGGATCTACATTGAAACAGAATGACAAATTAATTTCCATTTTATTGATAATGTGCAATACAAAAACTTGCTGCTATTAGAAAAATGTGACTTCTCCTCCTGGGGAATTGTGGTATAAATATGGACTGTCCTTATAAAGGAAAAGCTTTCAAACCAAGTCTGTACACAAGAGACACACCAAAAAGAGGATAGGGATTGAGAAATGTGGTTACTCTTTTTAGCATTCTCAGAGGAGGAGGAGGGCTCCCCAGCCAGCAAACCACAATCCTTAGCCAGGTTCTTTGGATAAGTAATGTACAATGTGTAACTTTGCTTTAACAAGAAGTTTGCAGGTTTTTATATTTGGAGCGGACTATGCTCCATTTTCAAACCCCATGATGATTGTTGATCACTTATTTTTGAAAAAGGATGGGATAACAAGAACATTCAGAGTGATAACAGTAACTAATAAATAAACCAACAGGAAGTTTATAAAGGGATCTAAACCCTTCTGCTTCAGAGCATGAGTCAGGCCCTAAATAACAGGGTCAGGAGGAAACAGGCAGGTTATCCTATATTTGCCTACTGCATGGGGATTTTTAGCCTTCCCTTGAAGTAACTAGGGACAGGACACTACACTGTATGGACCCTGCTCTCATCCAATCGGGTAATTTCTGTGCTGATAAACTGGCAGTTCTACATGCTCCAGTAAGTACAGCTGGTCAACATTGTTCTCACAAAAGAGTTTTCATCAGAAAATTTGTTGTTTTTTTTAATTGAAACTTTTCTGGAAAATAATGACTTTTTGGGAAGTTTTCATTTATCACTTTTTTTTTTTTGGTGACATTTAAAATCAAAATTGGTTTTAGTTAAAAGCATTCTCAAAAATGTTCTGTTTACCCAAACCCGAGTTCTTTTTTTTTTTTTTAGTTAAGTGGGGGGAAAAAAGTAGTTTATCAAAAAAAAAAATCACATTTTTCTGGCAAACAAAATATCTGGAAGTTACAAACAAAATTTGAAAAATGGATTCTATTTCAAACTGCAAAATGGAAACAACTTCAAAGGTTTTGTTTTGGTGAAAAGTGTCATTTTTTTTTAAAGCAGCTATACCAGTAAATCCGAAGAGGACAGCCCCTATCATATCAATGGCAAATAAAAGATTATAATGTTTGTGTGCATATGCATGCGGGCACAGAGGGTTCGAAATGGTTTCTGATTACAGCTGCATCTACTTTTCCAGCTCACGTTCTCCATCCCTCCCCACACCCTTCTGGCTTAGAGATTTAAACCCTCCAGCCAACATGTTCTCTTTGGCAGGCACATTGGAAGGTCTGGACGGAGGGTGCTGCTTTCTCCTCTAGAGGCGTTCCCCAGAGACGGAGCAAAAGTGAGTTCATGCTTCCTGGCTTCCTCAATGACCTCACACAGTGGGTGCTCCTTCAGAACTAGAGCGGCAGGGCAGGTTGTAAGTGACTCCAGGATTGCCAGAAGCACCTTGCGGCTCTTGATATCTGGCTGCTCAGTGTGACAGCAGCTTTGGGTGGTGTGAGGGGAAGTACAGGTAAGACCCAGCTTAAGAAGCAAACAGCAGGTGAGCAAACTACCTACAGCTTCATTCACTAGTGTTGCTTAGATTTTCTTTTCCCTTTCACTTTGTTTTACTTTAAGGATTTCTTCACCTGGACTTTCTCTACATCCCTCATGCTAATAGTTGACAGAGGCTTATGTTGCTGGGAGATGAGTGATCTACACGGTGGGCCTGATTCTCTCTTGCCCTGCACCTGGTGCTGTCATTTACACCAGTGCAAAAGTGAGCGCAAACTGCTGCCAGATCAGGATGGAATTAGGTTACATCGGGGGTCGGCCGCCTCTCAGAAGCGGTGTGCCGGGTCTTCATTTATTCACTCTGATTTAAGGTTTCGCGTGCCAGTCATACATTTTAACGTTTTTAGACGGTCTCGTTCTATAAGTCTAGAATACATAACTAAACTATTGTTGTCTGTAAAGTAAATAAGGTTTTTTAAATGTTTAAGAAACTTCATTTAAAATTAAATTACAATGCAGAGCCCCCCCCGGGCCGGCGGCCAGGACCCGGGCAGTGTGAGTGCCGCTGAAAATCAGCTTGTGTGCCAGCTTTGGCATGCGTGCCATAGGTTGTCTACCCCTGGGTTACATCCACTTTGCTGTGGCAATGACCACACAAAAAGCAGGACCATGGAGAATGAGACCCACTAATAACCGTCATCTGCTCCTCCAACGTTTGGTTTTATTTCCAGTGTCACATTCCCACGCTCACCGAGGAACAGCCTGAGTTTAATTAAGGTAGAGGTATCTTAAACATAGTCTGCTAACCTGGAGCAAAATAAGAGACAGAAATTTATTCACAGCCCAGTTTGTCTGTTATTATGGTACAGTAGATGATGTGAGAAATTGTTGGTTTTCATATTACATTCCTATTTTCTCTCCCTTTGAATTTCCCCAGGGGGATGCAAATAAATCAAATTCAGGTCTCACTTACACGAGTATGAATCTGAGAAGCTGCATTTACTCAGTGGAGTCACTCTGGATTTCACTGGTGTAAGTGGCGGCAGAATTTGGGTCCCTAATTTCAAGGAACACGCTCAAGATACCAATTGTACTATTTCCCCCCAAAAAACGTTCCCTTCACTCTTAGATTATTAAAACTGAAAAGGCTAAAAAGAAAACAACAAGAAGAAATCAGATGTAATGCCTGTTGGGTGTTTAGAAGATTTAAATCACTAGGCCAATGCCAAGTTTTATTATTCCACATTTTAGACTTTGCAGAGCTAGGGAAGTGTAACTAGACGTGCTCGTTTCTGTTGTGTATCTGGTCAGTTTCAGTCTGGGAGTCTTATGCCCCAATGTAATTCTATTGAATTTGCGTTTCCAATGGTTACTGTAGAAGAAGGTTTAACTACTGAAAAACATGTACATAGCACATCTATGAGGGGATTCTGTTTGCGGTGGCTGGGGTTTTCAATGGCATCTAAGGTGCCCAACTCATTGATTTTCTGTAGATATTGGGTGCCTGCCTCTCAGCCATTAGGTTCTGGGTGTCATTTTCACACGTGACTTAGGAGCAACGACTAAGGTTTTAAAAAGTGACTCGTCATTCTGGGTGTCCCAATTATTGGGTGCCCATCTTGAGATGCCTTAAACTGAGCCACCACGCTCTGAAAAATCAGGCCCCTTTATGGCAGCTATAGTTGCATTCCTCCAAATCAGTCACTCATAGATGCTGGAATTAGCGGGTGCTGCCACAACTCCTGGCTTGAAGGAGTGATAACAACTCAAATACATGGTTTCCACCTTCAGCACCTCACTATAAAAATGGTTCCCGCACCCTTGGGTCACTTTTGAGAGTCTTGACCACAAGTCTCACGTAAGGCAATGGACCATGTGCTCCTAACACTCAGGTGCTTCTGAAAAGCCCATGCTTTGTAACTCATGTTTTACAAAACTCAAAACGCTGTGCTTAAACTGCCCTTTAGGATGCTTTAAAACAACTAAACAAACAAACAAACAAAACCCCCAAAACAAGCTCGATGGGTCCAGTTCCAAGGAAATCTAGGCAGTTGGAGGCACAGAATTTTTAACCTGCCAATGTCTAAATGTGTCCCTGCATCTCAGCTTCTAAGATGTGAGACAACCAAACAAAAAATGCAGAATTGCTTTTAAAAATGAGCGGGAGAGGACTATGAAAGTGATAGTGGCCATCTGGGGAGCAGGAGAAGAGCAGGATAAAAGGGGGTGAATTTTCCACCACCTCCTTTTTCAAAACGCAGCATCTGCAGTCATCAGGCTAGTTTGGGGATGCTAGACATATGAATGCTCAGGTGAAAATCCCTCCTAGACTGCTGAGAGCACAATGTCACTGCCAGGGAAGGTATTTTCCTCAAGATGTGCACTAAGGCAGAGATTCACCCCTGCGTAGTGGTGCAGCATGAAGCCTCTGCTCCACATAAACCAGGACTTAAGTGATGCATCAATTTTCTGCTAGGGGCCTGCGCAGGGGTGAATTTCACCCTTAGTGATGACCATGATCTCCACTTCAAACTGACCTAGAGCAGTTTGTAGCTTTGCTTAGTAACTGACCGATTTACCCAATGAGCAGAACTCATCCAACCCTGAAAGGTAACTAACTTTGCACTTTTCTCCAAGCAAGATGCTCCTTTGTCTAACTGCAAAAATGATAGGTTTCAGAGTAGCAGCCGTGTTAGTCTATATCCACAAAAA